GGTTGCGCCAGCTATTTGAAAATTCATTACCAAGTTTGTGCGTGAAGTCCTTTAAAAGTTAACTACTAGCTTATTTCAAACTGGTGTTTTACTAAAGGATTGTGAGCCATTACAACATGTGCAAATCGGTGCTAGGAAACGTTATTCCCATCTGCATACAGTACAATACGAGTTTCAGAGATTGTAGGGAAAAATCTGATTATGCTTATCTTGTTTTGGTTATTTAGTCTTGTGTTTTTGGAATCTAAAGTATGCTGTGCTGTTTTTGTGAAAAGGAACTAAAAATCTTCCCAGTTTACAACATTATTATTAAACAGCTTTTGCATAAAGCATCAGGTCAGACATATTGAGGGTATTTCATATTTCCTCTTTTACTCTTAAGTCCAAACAGATCTTAACTAACATTACCTTGCTGGCTCAGTTAGCTAACACTTACACCTGGTACACCTGAACAACTACTCTCTACCCAAGGACTAGTTTGTGTGGCGCAACCCATTTGAATATTATCCCCATCTACACTTGCGTCATAATTTGGCTCCAGGAGAATCTTTTAACGGGAACTAATAAATTAGTCATTGTAATGGGAGCAATGTGAGAATACTGTACCTTGAAACTCCCATTGAGCTGATACCTGAGCTTTGTGACGGAAGTACTGTCACGTCTTACTCATAGATAGGTATCTTTAGATCTGGATGAGTAGTTATAAAATAAACTGAGAGTAGGCAGCAGGTCCAGTACAGAACTGTGTCAACACTGCACCCCCACGCCGCTCGTCCGGTGAATCAGCCACTCTGTCCATATGTGCAGGCGTGCTCCTCCATTAAAGCCTCTCCTGACGGACGATATCCTCCACATCTCACATCTGCTCCGTCACACATCTGAGAGTCCTTCAGGGGCGTGGAGGTGCCGAGGGGGCAGGAGGGGAGGGGCTGCTCACAGGTTGAAGGCCACATCTGGGAGCATGTGACCTGGGTTGTTCGCTGGGGTGTGACGTAGGTGGCCAGCGTGTATTTTTGTGTGTGTGTGTGTGTGTGTGTGTGTGGTGGTGTGTGTGTGTGTGTGTGTGTGTGTGTGTGTGTGTGTGTGTGTGTGTGTGTGTGTGTGTGTGTGTGTATGTGTGTACAGGTGGCTTGTTCAGATGACAGGCATGCCAAGAGGTCGTATTTATCAGTCAACACTTTTCCAGTCAACAGGCTGTGTGTGGAATGCGGGGAGCCGTGACCCCTCCTACTCTACTCGTATGGCATATGCTAATAGCGGTGCCACCTGTTTCAGCAGTATACGCATTGCTGCTATTTATAAAACTCACATAGTCTTATAAGTAGTGCTGTCATGTCAGTCTTTGCCATTCAGTGATATATAGTGATAGTTTTAGCTGTATTACAGGAAGTGACTGGTATAGAGTTCTGGGAATGTCCCTGTTTGGTTAATATAAAACTTATATCCTCTTATTGGACATGTTCCACTGTAAAGTATATTGACACAGTAGGATAGATGATGTCCAAAGGTTTATTGCAGTATATGAAAATCCCATAACTTTTTATGAGGAAGTTTTAAATAGCAAATGCTAGTTTGCGTTGCTGTTTGAGTGTATTCTGTAAGCTTTTGGTTTCACAGTCACAAAGTTGCCTAATTTACAGGAGTTTTATTCCTCATGACAGCCAACCATGTGTTAATGACTCAAATCTTTTCTTGTGTAGAATTCACTCCCTGTTCCCAGTACAGCTTCTTACTGGTTCATTGAATGGTCTCTTCCCCTCCTAGTAATTATTTTCACTGCATGGACTGTCAAAACAATTGTTATTTAAATGGATGATGGGCTCAGATAGTGATAACTCTTTGTGCCATGTATTTCTGCCCCAAATGATATTTCACTTTGCACTTGGGATAGAGGGAACATAGCGGGGACAGGTTATGCCACCTTTAACAAATCCCAACTTGGACTTATCTCTGTAAACTCTTACTGTCCAAGTGTTGTAATAGCGTCGAGAAGGATTAGCCCCACGTCGCGCTGCTCGGGCCACATGCAGGCTGCCCTCATCCTCTGATTGGTGTAGCTTGTTGGAGTTGGTCACAGCTTGACAGAAAACTCTGCAGCCATGGCTCAAGACACCCTCCTCCACATGTTTTTCAAAAAATAATTACATTTATTTGGTTTACACATGATAATGTGTGATGTTATTTATTCTAATATAAAGACAAGGCAGCAAAAAAGAGCGTTCCTGGGACAAGACGTGATTTTCAGTGACTAAAACTGTATTTCTGTCTTGAAATCTTTCTATACTTCCTTTTATTTATTGAAGTATGTGTTTAGATGTAAATGCAGCATTATGTCAGTCACTATCAGTTCTCTGTCAATGAAACTGCATATCATTTTCAAAATGACTGCATCAATCAGAGACATTAAGACATTGTTAAAACTAGATTTGTGGAATGATCAAAAAGAATATGTCATAATGTTTGATTTGCTTGGTTAATATAAATGTGTGTACTGTTAATAAATAGCATTCACTAAGTCTGGTTGAAGAATCCCATACCCCACTGATAAAACTGGGCAGCTGTGGCTCAGGAGGTAGAGCGGGTCATCCGCTAATTAGAAGGTCGGTGGTTCGGTCCCCGGCTCCTCCAGTCCCTTTGTCGAAGTATCCTTGGGCAAGATACTGAGCCCCTGATGGCTGTTCCATCAGTGTGTGATTGTGATGTATGAACGTGTGAGTGAATGGGGGAATCTGACAAGTATTGTAAAGTGCTTTGAGGGGATAGGAAAAAAAAGCGTTATATAAGTACAAGTCCATTGACCATTAATAAAACCCAACATATGCCTTTTATTAGATAACGTTTTATAGTCTGTGGTAAAAATTTGACATATGCAATAGTTGCAATAATTATGTCAAACTGATTAAACTGATGTGTTGCTGGAGGGGATATAGAAAGAAAGGGTAAAGACTGAAGAGGAGCTCATAGACAGAGAGATGTGAGAGTATCATCCACAGGCAGAGCACACTGTCACGTCTGTGTAGGGAGTGAAAGGGATGATTCAGTTTATGCATCATGCAGGAGAGAGCAGTGAAGTGCAGAGTTGCATATAGATTTCTGTGCTGTCAGAGGGGCCCTTGTTCTCTCACTCACGCTGAGTCGAGCTCTCTTCTACGTTCCTCAGTCGGATTCAGCTTGATGCATGCGGGACTCTTTTTCCGACTGTCACACAAACCTAGAATTAATGTTAGCGCCACTGCTTGGTGGTCGAGTGTCGTCTCACTTTGAATTGCTCCACACAAAGGACACTAATGATGCTTACGGCCGCCCTCCTTGTCCATTACATGTTACAGTCTACTGACATCACGTGGGCTGCTGGCAGGGGGCACTGTCTAAAAACTGTCAGACAGTGACCTAGCCTGGAGTTTTTGAAGCAGAATCCTTTCATAACCTCATCTGCTTTTGTCATTATGATCATTAAGAGTCACTGTCCCTCGGCTGTAGGCTGAAACCCCACAGTGTCCAGACACCCTTGATTATTTTTCCTTTTTGTAACTTCGGTGGAAAAGGAAATGGTGGATTTTGATTTTCTTTTTAGCTTCTATTGACATAAAGACTTGACTTTAATGAAACACCCTGCTTCAAACACAGAGGAAATCTTCTTGAGTCTTGATTTGTCCTTTGCTTCAGTAACAGTATCTTATACTAAACTGTAATTGTTGGGTATGTCTGTCTGTATTTCTCCTATTCAAGTCTTGTGTGGGTCTCTACTGTTGTTGAAATAACCCTCTTTGTGTCTTGTTCTCTGGCCTTTATCACAGCCTTCCTGCTCCTCCAAATGTCATTCACCCGGCTCAGATTTGGAGATGTCTGTGTTTGCAGTAAACGTCAGACTGCTTATTGACTAAGAGTCAGGAGCCCCTTGATAGAAACCAGGAATAGCTTCACTCGCTACCTTTTGCTATTGATTGCCATACCTCACATGAAATTGAGCCTCCCGTTGGCTGCATTTAATGAGGAGCTCCCCGTGGCAACTGTAATGGAGCGTTTGCAGTTGGAACTGGGATGTCTGTATTGAGTTTCCCCTTATGTCTCACTACGTTCAGTTAATCAGCATCACTGAATTGCTTCATAACTCCATTACTGGTAAAATAGTTGTCTTGTGGCTTTGTTCTGATGTGTTCCTAAGTATTGTTGTAGAAGTTGTGGATAAATGAGATAAACAACCAAAAGTTAGATAATGGGGATCTGTATCGAGTTGATGAGAGCTGAACAGCACGCCTGTGCAAATTTGCCAATTTTCTTTGGCTTTGGACACTGTTATCTCCATGAGTTCCTCACTCTGAGCGCAGAACTAAAACCCTCTTTGACCTGTGGGAATCAAAACATTTTACAGTATCATTGGTTATAATGTATTCACACCATTTCTCACCACTCAGTAATAAAACAGAAGTTCACCTAGGTAACCTGTGGCCAGAAACTCCTGAAATTCCTGTAATGTGAGCTGTTATTTGGGTGTCACACCTTCTCATTGTCTTTAAGCTTTAACAAGCATTTACAAGAAATCTCTGCTTTCTTTTCTTTCCTGTGCATATGCAATTCAGATATGGAGAATGCGGTTTTTGGAGCGCAGGCTGACACTATTGAATTAACCTGACATGAGCATTGTTCACAGACTCACGTACTATTCTGTTAATGATCACCACAGTGGTATCACGTTCACACTCCTCTGAACAGAAACTGGAAGCAATACCATACAACCTCAGATCTGTAGTGTGTAGTGAAAAGGTCAGCTCTGGCCCCACTTGATAGAGAAAGTAGGTGGGCTTTGCGTTTTCTAATTAGCCAATGTTAAGCATATTAACATACCAAACTAAAATAGTGAGCATGATAAACATTATACTTGCCAAGGATCAGCATGGTAACACTGTCATCGTGAACATGCTAGCATGCTGACGCTAGAATTTAACCCATCAAAAGCTTATAATCATTTGAATGCGTGTCGTTTCTTTTCCTCTTCACAGATCTGAGCTGAGACGCTGTGGTGTTGTGTACGCATGGAGGCTGATCGGTGGAGGTTCTCCGTCTTATTCTGAGGGTCACAGGTCGTCATTTCAAACCAGCCTCATCGTCTACAGCCCCAAAGGAGTGCCCTGACTTCACAACAGTGCATAGGCCTTCCATTCAAGGAGCCTGGAGCTGCAGCAAGAGAGAGAGAGAGAGAGGGAGAGAAAATAAACACGGGTTAAAAAAGACGCTCTTCATGAATTCCCCAAAACCCTGAAAGGCAAATAGTGCAAGTTGGCTGGCAGTCCTGAGGAGGCATGTGGACAATGAGTATGGCTTGGCTCTGTCTCCCAGCCTACACTGTCCTGCTTGTTGGTTGCTTTCATACAGCTGTCACGGAAAGCGACGTCACTCCGCGCCTCACCTTCTCCTACAGTAAGTTTTATCCACTTCTATGGACTATAGAATAACCATGATGTTGCAGTAACACATCACTGTCACATGTACATCAGTAGCAGACTTACCGGGCTGTTACTTGTCATTAAAGGAAGGATGACGTGAGCTTTGGTGTTTTTCCGGGGTTTCATAAGATCCTTTTGCGTGAACAGCAGCACTTGGCAAACTGTTTATAAACAGTCAAAAAGAGCAGGACTATTACTGTCCCTCGCTCTGTGTTGTAAAGCTGCTGCAAGATCACAGCTGGTCAGGGGTAAAACTTTACACAGCAGCAGCTGTTTTCTATTTACTATTTAGTAATTCTTAATTATAACAAAGTCTACCTACATTTTGTACTCTCACATCCTGCCTATAGGAGGGATTGAAAAAAAGTCAGTACACTTCATTTATGTCCATTGTAAGAGCTAAAAGGATTTAAATGGGTGAAACGGTGTTTGTCTTCACCATAATGATTTAAAATCCATGTAAATCTGCAGTGAATGGCAGCCCCGTCAGTGTGGCTCTGTCGAGTACCTACAGGTCAGACATAATCACAAAATGAACAGGCCTATTGTGCTGCAACATACTGAGGGGAGTGCGACATAGTCTCACAAACACTAAGACTTATTGCTCTTATATAATCTGTATTTATTTTGTTTGCTTGCAGAATGTCATAACAACAGATATAGTTAATTAACCTTTTGTGCTGGGTTTCTGTGCAGCATGCTCTCTTCATACCTCGGCTGCCACTGGTGCCGAGCGGTGATTTTATCATCACCAATGTAATAATCTAAATGATGTGCACTTGAGATGACATGTTGGATTTAAACATTTATTGTGTCTTAGCATCCTCATGGAAAATTCATCATAACGATGAATTATGAGATCAACGCAGGCTTTCAGTGATTGAACTGTCGTTAGGGACTCTTGTTCAGACATCATTACAGAGTTAATGCCAGAGAAGATTGTGTTGATAGATCGCTCTTAATCATCTCTTATAGACGTGGATAAAATTTCCAGTAAGGAGGTAATTCTGAGCAGGTCAGCCATATTGCCTGTCTGAGCCTGTCCATACCCACATGTAGCACCTCTATACCAACCGGTAATATCTCTCACCTGCCAGCCTCAACAAAGCCCGCAGATCAGCCCTGCTGGAGCGTTTCACAACAACACACATAATCAATCACTCGCTCAAAAGACGCCTCACACCTCTCTCCCTGCTGATGGAAAGATTTGTTTTTAGTGCGTGCAGCCAATGTTAAACTCCACCATATAACATGCAAAACCCACATGTCAGAAGTCTGCTGAATATATGCTTTGCATTCGGATTAGCTGAAGTAAAGCAAGGAAGGTTGTCCTTCTTATATTGCATCTACAGTATTTTAGTAATATCATTCGGAGCTAACCAGATGTATCCTCAGTCATCAGCTTGTTTTATACTAGCATTTATGTTGCTGTAACTTTTGCCACATTGATAAACTGACCTTTCCATGAGGGGTAACACAGTTTTAATGACAGAGGTAGTTACGATCCCCAATAAAAATTAACAAGGGGTGATTTTATCAGGTCTTTCTGACCTATATCGACGTGGCTAAAGGCTCATAGAGACTCGAAATTTACTAGCCGGGTTATAAGGTGGGTCTGACAAAGGAAATTTAAAAAGACTGAAGATGATGGTGTTTGAAAGACCAGTTGATGTAAGGTAAAAACCGAGCTTCCACCAGCTGATGAAGGTTTGCGCGGCCTGGTGATGGAAGTTGTCTGGCTGTGCTGATGTCGGTTCTGCTACACTGACATTTTCCAGCCTCCCGCAGAAGAGCTTTTGTCACATTGTGTTTACAGTATCAAAGCAGAATGCAGAGCTGCGGGCCTCAGGGACCTGAACTTCATACAGCAGAAACTGGCCGGTTTCATCATGGTTTCTGGTCCTCTCTATCCCATCTGGATGCCAGCTAGCTTGACGGCTTGGTTGCTTTAACCTCCAAAGTGTGGGAGGGCCAGAGCCCTGTTTGGCTGCTTCTCATCCGGTTGCATTTTCGTAGACTGACTTTCCCTCCTCTTCGCTCTTGCTCTCTCTGTGTCCCCTGGTCCCCGCCTCTGCCTTAATGAAGAGGGTAATCTGCCATGAATAATGAATGGGGATTTGTATGTGTTATGGTGTGAACACTTGTCTGGTTCTCATTATGCGCCTATCAGGACGGATCATGGGTTCAGGGAGTAGGGTCTGCATCTGCTTTTCTCTCCGCATTTGTTCCAGGCTTTAATGCAGACCATGCTGAACGGCTTAGTGTGTTGGAACACTATTTAAAGGCACACCTATAAGCCACTTATGCTGCCTGTTTTTGCCCGTTGATGTGTTCAGCTCCCTGTTAGACATCATGCGTTTGGACAGTTGTGCTTTAATTCCTCTGTAGGGGCCATGCCCACAGCAACACTGAGAGTGAAGCATTTTTAATTATTTAAAAGCTGTCAAGTCTAGAGCATCTGTATCAGCTTCCCTCAAGTAATTCAAAATGACAGTAGTGTCAAGTGAGATAACAGCTTCTCAATATGGTGATGGTGCCACATAGATGAACAGCAGATTTTAATGGTATGGATGCTTGCCTTGTTAAAGTCCATGACAGTCAAAAGGTGTGGAAAGTTACAGAAAATGTAATGACTATTACTTTCATTATAACTAATCATGTATTCTAATGGAGGTGGCAATCAGGGCCAACAAAATTTAACTAAGCCCAAAGTAATTTCATAAGAAAGACAACAATTTTGAAAATCAATTTATAGTAACTGAAGAAAAAAATATGAAAAACTCTCTGGTTTTGGCTTTAAGATTTATTTGTCTTATATGATGATAAATAATTTTGGGTTTTAGTTTGTTGAATGACAGATTTGAAGGCCTCGCCTTGGGCTCTGGGTTTTTCATTATTTTCTGACATTATGTATGCCAAATGATGAATTGATTAATGATGAAAATTATCGGCTGATTAACTAATAATTATAATGAATAGTTTCATCGCTAAAAAGTTGTTTACCCATAAAACCAAAGTTATGTATTCAGTTATATTATGAAACTAAAAAACCTGCAACTGTTCACTTCTGCAATGCTGTATTTAGCAGTCATTTAATAATTAATCAACTAATTATTTTAGTACAATGTAGATTTTAGGTTATGAAATTGCAATAGAATTAAAAAGGTACACTACACAACATTGTTCTGTGTCATAGATTTCACCTGCATGAGATGAGTGATTTATTTGAATTTAAACGTAAAGCAGTGAATACAACAGGTGACGATTTGATGATGCTGGAATGATGTGTGTGTGACTGACCAGTGTCCATCTTGGTCATTGTTTTTAATCCATCATGAAAAACAAGATCATTGATCTTGATATTGCTGATGTTTATGACACCCACTCTGTTGAGGCCTCCGGGGAGCGGGACATAAATCAAACTCAACAGACCCTGTAAAAACACTCTCATTGCTTCGCTCGTTCGTTTTCAAGGTGTTGTGAGGACACAGTGATCGTGTCTCTGCTCCTGCTGTAAATACGCAGCACAGCGTCCGGCTGGTCAGAGCATAGTGCTGCTGTACAGTTAGAAACATGTCTTGACCTCCATGTACAGTCTCTTTCGTTCTTGATACTTCAGCCCCGCTCACACTGGAGGCAGGGGTCACGGTGAGTTCCTGATGAACCAGCAGCTGGTTTACATTATTGTTGCTAATCTGGGGTCAGCTTTTGCTGCTCCCTGATCAACAGATTGCCCTATGAACATTTTTCATGGGAAAAAGGATCTTTTAGGGTTGAGGTGCACACTCTTTCACAAACTACAGGTTTAAGAGATATGACAATGGAGTGTTTAAATGTTAACAGATTAGTTTCTATCCCCCAATAAATTGCCCCACCAAAGCCTGTTATCCCATCCCTGCTGTGTGAATACGTAATGCTCATCTCTACACTTTACAGTTTCCTCAGCATTTACAGTATTTGCAGCATTTACAAAATGACTTTCCATCCTCATTTTCCTGAAGCTGTGTTCAAAATTGCCACCAATCTCAGCATCAGCATGGTACAGCGGAGACAATATCCCACTAACAAGATGCAGCCCCACCGGTTACCAATACAAACAGCAGGCTCACAGCTTGCCTAATGAATCTCCCGGTGAATTGACCCTCTTGGCCTGTTGTCTTGATGCATTCCAGATGCCTCGGTCTCTGTCCTTCAGCTTCCCAGGTCTACTCTCCCACACAATCACCCATTCAGCACTAATAGCTAGTATAAAATTACTGCGGATAATTTAGTTAGGGCTCCAGTGTGGCCTGTTTTCTGTCTTGACAATGTGACAGTAGTGGGAATTCTGGCATTGTTCTGACACCGAGCCAGTCGGACTCCTGTTGGCACTGCTGCTTCCTGTCACAGTGGTCATCGCTTCACACTCAATAGAGGGTTTTAATCACTTCTTCTCAAAGCAATTGGATTTACGAGGGTTCATCCGTTCTATCCCAAACAAAGTCCTTGAACAAGTACACTAGGCAGATGAAGAAAGAGATTTGTGCCGGTGTCTTTTCTCTCTGCCTGAGTAGGTTCTTCCTTATTAGTCTTAAGTATAATTTGTTGTGTCTTTATCTTCACAAGCTCATTCTAATGTCAAGGTGTCCCAGTTCATCTGTCAACCCTCACTGTCAAACAAATTAAATAAACTGCATTGCAGTTTTCCACATCTTGTTCTCCTGTCCTTGCTCTGGTGTTTTCACCTGACACCCTCTGTCTATAAGATGGGTAAGGATTTCTTTCTTTAGGCTGGAGGAGAGGAATTAGCCACCTCCTTTAATTATGGAGGAGTCAAATCCGCCTGTCTTCAAGTAAATAGTCCTTTGCCCCAGCATGGTACCAGCTTGAATCAACTCGACTCTACTCGCCTTTTTTGGTTTTCCGGAAAAGGTTGTGGATAGTACGTTGTACTTGATACTGTTTTGGTATTTCCCCCGCCAAGGTTCCAAGGAA